CCTTTGAGGATGCTTTTCCATATAAATGAGGAAGTGTTGTATCTCCTGTTACCGTATTTGAGGATGAGTAGTTTTGCCCAGGGGGTGGATGTATTAGTTAGGAGTCTCCACGTTAAACCACATAGTAATAGCTTATTTTTGGAATTGGCATTTTTTAAGCCAAGGCCTCCCATATCTTTAGGCTTCGTAATGGTATTCCAATTGATTAGATGAAGTTTTTTACGTTCCATAGTATTGCCCCAGATAAAGTTCCTTTGAATTTGATCAATTTGTTTGTGAACCTTAGTAGGGAGCATTGTGTATTGCATGGCATGATTGGGAATCGAGTTAAGAGTAGCTAGGGCTAGGGTAGTCCTTCCTGCTATATTGAGGAGATTTGTTTTCCAATCGGAGAGTCTATCTCGCATTTTGTCAATGATGAATTGGTAGTCAGACACTTTGGGGGAATTACTGAGGATTGGAAAGCCTAGGTAATTCCCAAAATTTTTGCTTATTTTAATATTGAATCCTGAAGATATTTCCTTGGCCAATATCATCGGGTTATTTTTGGAGAAGATTATTTTGGATTTGTCGTGATTTATTTTTTGGCCTGAAAGATTACAAAAGATTTAAGGCAATTTTTAATGGTCGAATAGTTTTTTTTTTGTTAGCTTTTGCCATTAGAGTATGGTCGTCCGCAAAGAATAAGTGGGAGATACCTGAATGATGGTTGTTTAAGTGAATAGGTTCCCAAAGACAAGTGTCTTCCTGATGTAGAATTAGACGAGAAAGCATTTCCATACACATGATAAAAATGTAAGGTGATAGTGGGCATCCTTGTCTGATTCTCTTACTTGGGTTAAAAAAGGCGGTTGTTTCCCCATTTACCAAAATTGCAATTTTGCTTGTACAAATGCAGTTCATAATGAGACTTTTTATTTTGTAGGAAAATTTGAAATGAGTGAGAGTTTGGTAAATAAAAGACCATTCCAATCTGTCGAACGCTTTTTCAAGGTCCAGTTTCAAGATCATGTGACCCTTTTCCCCTTCATTTTTTTGAAATGGGATATTATTTCTTGGATTATGTTGGCGTTGTCAGAAGATCTCCTCCTTTTAATAAAACTAGCTTGGAAGGGGCTGATAATATGATGTAGAAAGGGTTGAATCCTATTTGTGATGATTTTTTTAATAATTTTGTAAATAGTATTACAAAGGCCAATGGGTCTAAATTTTTTTAAGTTATTGGCATTAGGCACTTTAGGGATTAGGCTAATGTAGGTATTGTTAATATCAGGAGGAAGTGTTTGGGAATTAAATACTTCCTTACAAAGATTTGTTATTGATTGGCCCACAATATTTCAATATTTTTGATAAAAAAAGGGTGTATGCCATCGGGCCCTGGTGATTTAAATGGTTTAAAGGAAAAGATTACTTTTACTACTTCGCCATTGGTCAATTGATTGTCTAGGATTGAGAGATCAATATTAGTGAAAGATTGAGTGTTGTTCTTAATAGAAGACCAATTTGTGGAGGAGTGGTCTATTTGAAAGCATTTTGAAAGAAGTGAAGGGTATGGTCAAGAATTTGAGTTGGATCATTGATCCAATTTCCAAGATTGTCTTTAAAATGGGTTATTTTGTTCTTCCTAGCTCTGTTCGTGGCAGCTATATGAAAGAATTTTGTGTTCGCATCCCCATCTTGAATCCAGGACATCCTGGCCCTAATTTTCCAGTACTCATCTTCTAATTTGAGGATATCATTATAATCCTGTTGAAGCTTTGATTCAAGGTTTTGGAGAAAGGAACTAGAGTGGTAGTTACTGGAAAATTGAATACCCTTTAGTCTAGCCATTATTCTTAATTTTTTCTTGTGGGTGTCTCCAAAGTATTTTTTACTCCAGCTTTTAATATTGTCTAGGAAATTTTGTGAACCTTGGACGTAATTTGAATTAAGCCAGCTGTCTTTAACTAAATTTATAAAGTCCGTGTGGCGACACCAAAACGTTTCTAGCCTAAAAGGTTTTTTTTGTGTAACACTTTTTTTAGGGTTAAACTCTATTAAGAGAGGATTATGGTCCGTGTGAGTCCTAGGTAGGTGAGTGACCGAGGCTTCTGGGAACAAATTTATCCAATCTTCATTGGCAAAAACTCTGTCCAGCCTTTCCATTATGAGGTCCCTATTTTTTTTCCTTTTGTTAGACCAAGTAAATTTGGGGCCCTTAAAACCTAGGTCTATTAGGTTGCAAGTGTTTATACAGTCCCAAAGAAGTTTATTTATTTTATTATTGATGCTTCTTCCTCCTAATTTTTCGTTAGAGGTTAGGACATCATTAAAATCTCCTCCTAATAGCCAAGGACCTCTAACTACACTGTGCATGTCTAATATATTATTCCACGTTACGTTACTAAGTTTCTTGTCTGTGCTAGCATAAATAGAAGTAAAGATCCAAGTTTTGTTGAGAGAAAATGCCGCAATGGTTGCGCTTATCTCCTGACTTCTACGAATGAAGCTATGAAAATTTATCTAGGTGTGATCCCGCAAAGTGACCATACCTCAGGACTGCCCTTCCGTCGGGATTTCTATCATGTCGGTAAAACCAAACGGATTGCGAAGAGGCATATGTCTATCCATCTTGGTCTCTAGGAGAGTTACCATGCTAGGGTGGTGAGTTTCAATTAGGTATCTGAAACTTAGCCTAAAGATATCGTTGTTACCCCCTCTTATATTCCAAATGATGAAGGTTGTTAATCTATTCATGTTGAACGTTGGGTTGTGAAGATCTCCATTCTCCCTCATCCTGCGTGCATAGATTGTGTTCCTCCCTTGAAAATGAACCATGATCATTGCATCTTTCCACACCAATGGATCTGCCGGAGGCCTTATGTCCATTGTGCACTTGTAAAGTGCTATTGGACAGAAGAGAATCTGCTTCTGCTCTTACGTCTCCATGAATAGAAATATTTTTAGCTCGTCGAGGTTTGAATTCTCCACCATGTTTTGTGGAATTAAGTTTATAGGATCTACTTCTTCCTCCATAACTTGATCCATCTGGTTTTGGTTTTGTTGAGGGCGAGGAGCTTGCATGTTGTGTGCAGTGTGTGCATTTGATGTTGGAGGATGGTCTGCATGTGCATTCCAAGGGGTGAAGACTGGATTGATGTTTGTTACAAACTCCGGGGTGAAGAAAGGGAGTTCCATTGCTGGAGTTGGGTTCTGGATGGGAATTAAGTTTTGTGGCATGTTCCAATCCCTCCTCATGGAGTGAATCTGATTGGCTGTGAGGTTTGGAGCAATTGGAGTTAGGATATTGTTCAACCATACTTTGTTGATGTAATTGTTCATTGCTAGACGAACACCTTCGGAGATTAATTGGCTAGGTAATGTGTGTTTTGAAGGACTATGATAGTTTCTCTCCCTCCAACATAATGTTGAAGGAGATTGCATGTCCCAGTAATTCCATCTCCACCCACGACATTGGTTGATGATTCTGTGGCAATGGTGATTGAATCAAGATTCTTCTTGGTTGGTGATTTGGATTCTGGGGGGTTTGTGATGGATTGTTTGCCATATTTGGTGCTAGGGTGACTCTTTGAAGTTGAATTAGACGATAACATCTCCTTACTGATATTGGCACTCTTGGCATTTTTTATTAATTATGATTCTAATTATGTGTATATGTAGGACTTTTCTAATTATAGTTTTACTTATAAGTCTTGTATTTCTATATTTTTCCTAGAATTTGTATTTTATTCCTCTTTTTGTTCCTTGCTTGTCATTGTATTATACATTACTTAGTTATTAAATTTTCTAGAATTGAACAATATATGACAGTATAATATAATACAAAATGTTACATTATGAAATGATGGATAATAATTATTTAACAAACTAAATTCTAAATATATAATCTAAACCTCAAATCTAAAAGTTTTTTTTGTCATAACACAACACAAAGTTCGATTCTGCTCTATCTTCTCTTACTCATTTGCGAGAAGCTTCTCCTTTTTGGTAGCATTTAATAGCTGTCAGTCCCACATATATATAATTGATTTTCTTGGTAGGATTTAGGTGGGATTGTTAGTGATAGGTTCTATAGGAACTGGACGATCCTATTTGGTCAAATACCTAGCAACAAACTCCTATGTTCCTTTCATTACGGTATTTCTGAATAAGTTCCTGGATAACAAGCCTAAAGGTTTTCTTCTTGATGAGATCGATATTGATGATAGTGACGATATTGATGATAGTGACAATCTTGATGCTAGTGACGATATCGATCGTGACCTTGATACGGAGCTGGAACTGCTAACTAGGATGAATGAGCTAACTATGGATATGATGCCGGAAATAGACCGATTTTATATCACCCTTCAATTCGAATTAGCAAAAGCAATGTCTCCTTGCATAATATGGATTCCAAACATTCATGATCTGGATGTGAATGAGTCGAATGACTTAGCCCTCGGTCTATTAGTGAACCATCTCTCCAGGGATTGTGAAAGATGTTCTACTAGAAATATTCTTGTTATTGCTTCGACTCATATTCCCCAAAAAGTGGATCCCGCTCTAATAGCTCCGAATAAATTAAATACGTGCATTAAGATACGAAGGCTTCTTCTTCCACAACAACGAAAGCACTTTTTCACTCTTTCATATACTAGGGGATTTCACTTGGAAAAGAAAATGTTCCATACTAACGGATTCGGGTCCATAACCATGGGTTCCAATGCACGAGATCTTGTAGCACTTATCCATTTTTACCTCACATCTGTGCAAATAATGCCCATTTATGTCAAATATTTCACTATGCTAACGCTTAATTATTGGAAGTATTAGAAAATATATTTTACATAAACAAAATTGTATGAAGAGCACACCTAATAAATCTGTAAATAAATGAACTATTGTTACATGCAATTCTCGTGTAATCGTTTTTTTTATTAAACAAAATTAGCTCCCTTCATTGGGTATAAATTCTACCTTTTTTGCGCACTTAGCACACAAAGCAATTTTATAAAAATCTCAATCTATACCAGCATAGAAGGATGGCTTCTTTCCAAAAGCAATTAGCTGTTTTCATGCTCCTCCTCTGGGTCGCTACAGTTGGTAAGTAATTTTTATTAATAACTCCCTTCACTAGCTCTTTCATAATAATTTAAAAAAAAATAACCTTATGTTACTAGAGGCCGATCTAGAATTCCGAAAAAATGGGTTCACCATTACTTTTAAGATAAATATTAAGTTTGATGACATAAATTTTTACAGTACAATAACGTAGCGAGCAAAAAATAATTAGTTTCATTATCACAAAAAAGAAAACATCATCAATTTACAATTGTATTCAGACGAGTTTTCATACTTTGAAAACGATCTATAATAGCATCATTGCTTACAGTTGCAAATACCTTATGCTCTATAATGCAAACTAAACAACCATTCAAAAATTATTCACTAATACTATTATGTAGATCATTTTTTATGAGCTTCATTGAGGCGAATGCTCTATATTGCAAACTAAATAACCATTCAAAAAGACATAAAAAAATGCAGAGATGACTCACAAAGTTTTACATGTATCCTCACCTCTAAAGCTCAAAAAGACATCATAAATTCATACTTCCGATCTTTGGAAGAAGAAGCTAAGACATTATTGAAGAATATTGCTAAAGATCAACTAACAATAAATTCTCAGCTTTTGGTATATGGTGAGAAAACTGACACAATTGGGTAGTTGAAGTGCTTAATATTAAGTAGAAATATTTGAAGCCTAAGAGGCAAATCAATTCCCATCTATGTGAATGCAGAATTTGGTCTTCATATGTGTCACAAATAAAAATATAAAAAAATTTGCTGGAAATTTCAAGTAAAAATCATGCAACAGATTGAAACAAAATCAAAACCGGGGAATTCTTTTCAAAAGTTGTAAATAAGTTGAAATAAAGCTTTACCTCTTATCAGAAAAATCTTCTAAATGCTTTGAATCTAACAATTTTGTCCACTTTGATCAATGCAAGAGACAAGAAAGACCAATAATATATAGTAGGAATTAGCTGATTAGGGTTTTATGTTTTTTGAATTTTGGGATGAATTGGGTTTAGATTAGGAATAATATTATATTTGGGGATGGGGAAATCGAGAAAAACTCCAAGCCTTGTCCCAAATAGGAAGAAGTGAGCTCTAGCCTTGACTGTTGAGGAATAGTATTATATTTTGGACAGTTGTTAGGTTACCCTAACAGACGTGTGGGAATGAAGCAACTACTATCTTTTTTATGTTTAGCATCAGCCATACCTTTTTATGATATGTCCATCCTAAAAATTTGCAAGAATTTTCTCATTGCTTTTGAACTCAGCTCTTCATTTTTGTTTCGCAGTTTGTTGTCTTTGTATTTTTACAGGAGTTAGGCCTCTCAATATATTTGGTTTACAATCTTCCGGAGTGCGTGGTAAATCTAGGATTCAAAGTCATTGGGTTCTGCTATTCATATATGTACGATCTTTTTTAAATGCATAAATATACATAGTTCAAATTAATCGCAATTAATTCTTGAACCCCTTGTGTTTAGTCTAAATCCACCACTAGAAGAATCCCAACGTATCAGCCTCTTTAGTAACTTGATAATAACTATAAGGTATTTTTTGTATCATAAATACGTAGCTCAAGACGAGGGGTCATCTTTGGCAACTGAATAGGGTCAGCGAGGTATCTCCTTGATTAATAGTTGAACATGCTTGATGAACTTAGGGACATGTATATACAATGCCTCGAGGTACAAGTACTAAAATGGCAATTTTTTGTTGTGTTGTTCTATGATAGTGGTTTCATCTTCTAGATTAGGCACTGAAATTGATCATTTTTTTATTCCTTCAAATTTTTATTTAGGGGCCTGGATTTTTGCCTGTATTCTGTAATGGTTTTACTACCTTTTTTTTCCAGCTGTTATTAATTTGTTAGATTTAACACTAACTGACTGTCCACGGATTCAAATATTCAATCCCACAATGATTGGAAATTTGTGCTTTTAGTACCCCACTCTTTTGAAAAATAGGCTTCTGTGCAAAAAATGGGGTGTAAAATGTGGAACCAAATTCCATTAGCAATAGCCTATTCTATAATAAGGTTTCTAGAGGATTTTAAGTGCTTGTTAATTGCTTTATCTCTGTTGGCATTGGAAGAGCCATATTTTACCTATAACTTTTAAAAATGACAGCTTCAGATATTTTCTCTTACTCCCTCTTCTATATTATCCTTTCTAGTTGAAATTTTCTTGGGGGCAGTGGTACATGCTCATAAGCTACAGTACTAAGAGCAAAAACAATACCAATTTCTTTAAGGGAAGAACAACTAAAGTATCTTGACATGGAAAAGAAATCACTTTATAAACCAAACAGTCATTCAACTAGATCAAAACCTATAAGTAGTTAAATAGGAAAAATAGAACAAATCGCTTAACACATTACTCTTGTTAGTGAATCTCCATCTTTTTTTTTGATTTCTTATCCGGTGTTCGGTACCCGCATTGGAATCCGACTAATCCGGATTCGCATCGCGTAGGGCACATGGGGGAAGCGCTCCTTACCAAGGATTTATCCATTTCCATGGCTCGAAATCGAGATCTCTGGTTAAAGGCGGAGCAGCCTCATCCACTGAACCACATCCTTTGTTGGTTTCCATCTTCAGTTGTCTTCAACTTGTGACTGAAAACAACAAGGTATAACCTAAATAAAAGTTACCCACATCCCGTGTCACATCCGGTGTGTACATCAAACCAATGAATGCAAGACATGTATGTATATACACACTGTGATATGTATTATAACCCCCGATAGCAAACAAGAAAAATTAGGATTACCAAACGGAATTTGGTTCTTCTTCTGCCATGTCACTCTTTGGATTCTGCATTTGTTCTTATCATGTTATTTGTGATGACCCGAAACCTTGAGATTTGATTTTTGAGGGAAAAGTGGTAATTTGACCGAACCCGTAGGTTTGAGCCGTCATTTATGATTTATCGGGACTGTCGGATTGATTTCCAAAGGTTCCGGATGAGTTTGTGCGAAACTAGTCACATAAGTGGTTAAGAAGGGTTCCGACAATCAAAATCGGGCAAACGAGGTCGGAACTGTAATTTGACGATGCATACAGCTTCGTGTCGTCATTTGTGACCCATAGGAACTAGAATCGTGACCAAGGTAGTGGTAGTTGGTTGGCGATGAGTACGAACGACATGTACCTTCCTTTTTTGGGAAGATCCTTCCATCCTTGGAGACAAGTCTACACTCTTTTCAATCTTAGTAGAAGTTTTAGCCGATGAGGAGAGCTTAGTGGGAGCTAGAGCACCACTCTCAGCTTCTGTCTGATCGAAATCATCAGAACATATTGGTAGGGAATAGATCCCGTGACCTAGGCAGTTGCAGTTGGAAATAAGGGGCCAAAACCAGTGCACTACTTCACCTCTTTTGACCATGGGTATATATATATATATATATATATATATACTTTTTGCCAAATTATGTACATCATATGAATATTTTAATCGGAGGACCACAGGTTCACGTGAACCATATCTTACACGGTGGATCCGCCCCTGTATGTTACATATCAGTGCATGTGCATGCACATTTACGTTACACACTACTACAAACACGCATTTTTATGACAGACATTATCGTCAAAGTCTATCGGAAATTTGAAATTTTCGTTGGAAAATCGTCGAACATAGTTTTTGATTACCATAGGTAAGATTGAACTTATTGGTTCTTAATTCTAAGATAGCGGCACTAAATGTTAGTAATTGGGTTCTAAATGCAATTTTTGTACGTATATTTAGTAGATTTTGTAATACAAATACAAAGTTTGGACCAAAGCTATTGGATTTCGTCGAACTAGTAGTTAACCCTCTAGGTCCGCTCTTGCCGATGAGCATTCTCGACGGAACTTCGTCAGAAAAATGCGTGTTTCTAGTAGCGACGTATGATTGCAACAACTACAACAAACTTAGTGATTTTCTCCAAGTAGGGCCTGGGAGGGTAGCGTGTACGTAGTCTTTACCCATACTCTTAGAGGGCAGAGAGGATGTTTCCAGTAGACTGTAGGCTAACGAAAATATGAAGCAAAGTAGTAGCAACAAACAGTAACAACAAAAAGATATTAAGAAAAACGAAGCGAAAGAAGACAATCAAACAATAGTAGTAATAACAATCCAAGAATAAAAGTATATCATTGTGACATATGGTTGTATCATCTAATATTTTTTGATGATGTTATTTATACACCCAAATTTTCAGGGTCACCAAACATGCTGGTTATGGCTGTACGTGATTTTCCATTAGAGGTAGCTGCCATGGAACAAACTTTGTTTCTAAATTCACTAATCACTTGCTAGAGACCATGTCAAACAAACAACCATTATTTTCCAGAGGAGAAGACTAGTATTTCTCTCGCTCGTTAAATGGATATTTTTGAATGTCGTGTGTACGTCATTTAATAATAAAGCAATTTGCAATTGCTTCAGCTGTATGTTGCAACAAATCGCATCGTCAAATATTTGTACTGTAAACATGTCTTAAATATCGCATGTTCTTGTGTCGTCTTTAATTTGTTTCCATGTTATATATGTATTAATTATCGGCGTATGCATTCCACATTATGTATTATGATTCTATGTACTATGACCATCACGTAAAAATATATTTTATGTAGGTCGCCAAATGAATAATGACTTTACTGGCTTCCTATTTTTTATTTTTAGTGGTGACATATTTAACATTGAAAGGTGATTAAAGTTGTTATAAAATGTAAAGAATTACTCGGCAAATAAAAAATAAATTTTATGTAGATCTCCAATGAATAATTACTTTAATGGTGACCTATTCGAATTTTGTGGCGACTATAGTTAGTACTAAATGTCAGCGCTTATCGACTAAAGTCGGCATAAAGTTAAGGCTATTCTGCCCAAGAAAGTTGCTTTTGAAAGGATAAATTATTTTGGCGAAATATAGTCGCCACTAAAAGCCTAAATAATCGCCACTAAAAGACGGTACTGTAGTCGGCTAGTCGCCACTAGAAGGGGCGACCAACCAGGCCGACTTTTGGTGGTGACATTGTTTACCTTTGGTGGCGATTGTTGTCTCCACAAAATATAATTTATCCTTTCAAAAGCTATTCTCTTGGCCATAGCCTTAAATTTGTAGTGACTTTAACTGCTATAATACTATTCTTTTTGAGACCCATTACCTTATTTTGTTTTAGTTCAAGTCGTACCTTATTTGCTTTAATTTAGACTTCCATTATATCAATAACCAAATACAATGAATATTTGCTTTTGAGTTCCTTGAAAAGATTAATCTTGGGCATCTATTTAATATAAAATAGTTTGTGTAATATTTTTTGCTCCTATAAATGTAGAGTATATTTTGCGATTTTCGAATCTGGATATTAGTCACTGATCTAAGAACTAAACTAACTCAAGCTTTCGTTTTGTGACCGTGCATGCTATTTTATGAGGAACTTTGGTACTTTGAAAGTTGAAGTATTGGATGTGTGTAACGACCCGACATGCCGTTTTAAAAATTTATAGTTTGCACGGTCGTTTGAGGGCATGCGTAGCCTCGTATGATGTATTATGACCTATGTGTATTTTTGTTTTGATTTTCAGGTGTTTCGGAATTAGTTCGGAAGAATGAATTTCATGTTTGAAGCTTTAGGTTGGAAGAGTTGACCAAGTTTGACTTTTTAGTATTCGACCTCGGATCGGAGTTTTGATGATTCCATTAGGTCCGAATGATGATTTTGGACTAGGGCGTATGCTCGGAATTTCATTTGGATATTTCTAGAAGGTTTCGACACTAATTGGCGAAAGTTGAAAATTTGGAGGTTTGAAATGTTCACAAGTTTGACCGGGAGTTGACTTTTATGATATCAGATTCTGATTGTAGATCCGAAAATTTCAGTAGCTTCGCTATGTCATTTGGGACTTGTACGCAAAATTTGAGTTCATTCCGAGTTGAAATGATATGGTTCGACACGGGTTTTGAAAATCGAAAGATCGAAAGTTTTCTAAGTTTGAATTGAGGTGCAATTTGTCGTTTTGATATTGTTATGTGTGATTTGAGGCCTCGAGTAAGTCCGTATTATATTATGTGACTTGTTGGTATATTCAGACGAAGTCCCGAGTGGCTCGGGTGAGTTTCAGGGTGGTTTCGGATCATTTCTAGGCCATTTTTAGTTGCTGGATTTTGGCTACAGCAGCGTGCTTTGAGATCGCGTAGAATTGGCCACGATAGCGAAGAGTAAAATGGGCCTGTGAATCGCGATCGTGGAAGGCTTTTCGCGATCGCGTAGATGAAAATTTTGCTGTCACTGACCCGACTTTGGAAGCTTATATCTTGCAATCGATAAGGAATTTGGAGATGATCCAAAAATAAAAGTTGTAGCCCTTTGTGTCTAGTTTTCAGACAATCAAACTGTTTGGTATTTAGAGTTACGCACAAAAATTTATGGCTATTACACTACATGCTATCTGAGAAGAGTTTGGGAAGGTGATCTAGGAGTTTGTTTCGCGATCGCGGGGAAATGGCCACGATCGCATAGATTAAAATTGTTCTGGAAAATTTTTGTGCTTCGGGATCGCGAAGGGTAAATCCCCGGGCAGCAAAACTTAAGTTCTGAAAATGACGTTCCGTCTCATTTTTCCATTTTTGGAATTTTGGGCTAGGTGTGAGGCGATTTCTCCGGAGATTTTCAAGCAAAACATTAGGGTAAGAATTTCTGAATCGATTTTGGTTAAATTACATGAATCTATTATTGTTTTTATCACCAAATTAGTGAATTGGGTTAAAAATGGTAGAAATTTTCTAGACTTTAAATTGAGGATTTGGAGGTCGAGTTGATGTTGGAATTTGGTAAATTTGGTATGATTGGACTCGTGGTTGTATGAGCGTGCGTATTTTGTAACTTTTGTCGGATTCCGAGGCGTGGGCCACACGTTGAATTTTTGTTGACATCGAAGTTGTTATCATAAATTCGACCTTTATTATTTGGAATTATTGATGTAATTGAGTTGCTTTTGGCTAGTTCTGAGCCGTTCGGAGGTTGATACGCGCGAAATGGAATTTCTACCTTAGGAGATAATTGATGTAATTGAGTTGCTTTTGGCTAGTTTTGAGCCGTTCGGAGGTTGATACGCGCGAAATGGATTTTCTGGAGTACTGTTTAGCTTGCTCGGTATTGGATTCGGCCTATTCGAGGTAAGTACCACTTCTAAACTTGGTGCTGAGGTATGAACCCTTGATTATACGTGTTATGTGAAAGGTTTGGAGGTGACACACATGCTAGGTGACAGGCGTGTGGGTGTGCACCGTAGAATTTATTTCTCAATCGATTCCGTGGAGCTGTGTAATCAAATAACTTGTTATTTTTCCATATATTTTCCATATGTTAGCAAAATTGAGCTGTGATTCGTATTAGAAATCATTCTTAGGCATATGCTGGTATTATTGGGACCCACTGAGGTCATTTCTGTTGTAGAGTTATATGTTTAAATTGCAGTTACATACTCAGTCATACTCATTCATTGCATATCATATCTCAGTCTCTGTTACTATTTGTTGATATATCATATCATTATTTTTGGGCTGATTTTTCATGACATTTTGAGCCCGAGAGATTGGAGAGATTGATGACTGAGTGAAGCCGAGGGCCTAATTGTGAGGATATTTATGGGATCGGGCTGCATGCCGCAACATATTTTATTGATTCATGCGATGATTGGCTTATTATAGCGCTTGGAATGGATCTGCCCCTCAGGAGTCTGCACACCCAGAGCGACCGTAAGTACTTACTGAGCGTGAGTACGAGTGCCGAGTGATTGAGAGGATTGAGTGATTACGAGGATTGAGTGACTGTGAGGAATGAGTGATTGGGAGGACCAAGTGATTGTGCGTACTAAGTAAGATTTCTACTCAAAGAGCATGCATAAGATTTTATCATTATGTTGCATTGCATTGGCATGCACATTGACATGTAGGCATAGAGATGTACTTTCTTCATGCCATCTAATAATGAAATTTCTTATTGTGGAAGAAAGTTTTTGGGAAAAACTACAGTTATTTCCAGAATTTCTCATATTTTGGTGAATTTGGCAAATGATTTAAGTTTTACTGTTATACTTGAAAAGAAATGTCTATTTTCCGAAACTGTGAACGAGCTGAGCATTTTATTGTGTAGTTATTACTTGTGCTGCTTTAATTATATTGTTATGAGTTGTTTCTGGTTGTTGGCATTGGACTCTGACCTTTGTCCCAACTCGTTACTATTTTCAATCTAAGGTTAGATTTGTTACTTATTGAGTACATATGGTCATTTATACTCATACTACACTTCTGCTCCTTGCGTGCAGATGTTGGATGCTGATGTTGCTGTGTATGGCGGGAGCTAGATTTTAAGATGTACCTGCGTTCTTGTCATAGATGCCTCTTGATCTTCATAGCTTTAGAATTTTAATTTGCGCATGTATATTTCAAATAAATGATGTATTTTATTTCGTACCAGCATTGTAAATTCTAAATCTTAGAAGCTCATGATTTGTACTACCAGTCCTTGGAAAATGTATAAAGGTTCAGCTATTTTTTTCCATTTATTTGTCTCAATTAATCTCATTAAATCGGATAGTTGTTAATTGGCTTACCTAGCGGTTTGGGTTAGGTGCCATCACGACTAGTTGGATTTTGGGTCGTGACAAGTTGGTATTAGAGCTCTAGGTTCATAGGTTCTACGAGTCATGAGCAAGTGTCTAGTAGAGTCTTGCGGATTGGTATGATGACGTCCATACTTATCTTCGAGAGGCTACAAGGCATTTAGGATAAGCTTCCCATCATTCTTAATTTCCTTATCGTGCGGCATTGATTCAGCTTGAAGAATATACTTTTGAATTCTTCCACTCACTCGCATGCGTATGTGAGTGCTCGATATCAGCTATACATTGACGGCTTGTGGAATTCCATGGATGAGGTACGAGATGTGTTTTCTATGTTTTGGTGATGGGCCAGTCTGGAGGACTTGAGGCCAAGTTTAGACCGCACCTTAGGCTCGACAGTTTCGATTATGTGAGTATATGATTTTGGACCTATATGTCCGGTAGTGTCCCTATAAATGGAATTTGTGGCTCATGAGCGGTTGAATGTCTATATGATGGGTATGATGTGACTGCGAGATGTGTTCAGATAGGTTTTAATGTGACGAAAAGAGTTTGCTTGAGATGTAAAAAGGACTATTGGATACTTGATTTCTGTCTTGATTTGACGTGTAGTCTTGAGTGGGTTGAAGGGTCTTTCATGTTGCCTAGTTGTGGAACAAATTAAATTCTCATGTCTTGTTGATGAGTTCAGACTCTGGAAGATTAAGTGATTGCATAGTGTGGCTGCGAAAGGGTATAACAAGATGCCAATTTGAGGCTAAGCAGGTGGGTTATCTCTTGCGGAGTAATCTACGGAGGTGCGATCCATATAATGTTGTGTGGAGAATTCTTTTCTACCAGCGAGGTATATGTGTTAATATTTGAATTTGAATTTGGTTGAGAAAGTTGACCTGACCATCACGAGGATGAAGGCGAGCTTAACAAATGATTTGAGGTATTTTATGGTTTGTGTTACTT